ATAATATTGGCTTTAGCTACAGGAATATTTTGCTCAGTTGTTAGAATTATAGTATCAGTACTAGAAACAGTATCGGTAGAATAAGTACTAGTAACATCGGTAGTAGTAGTTGTATAATCATCGGTTGTAGAAGTAGTAGTAACATCATCGGTAGTGGAGGTGGTAGTAATGTCAGTAGTAGAAGTAATAATTGTATCAGGAGTAGTAGTAGCGACGGCAAGGATTGTGGCAGCAATAGTATCATCAGTAGTAGAAGTAGTAATAGTATCATCAGTAGTAGAAGTAGTAATAGTATCAGGAGTAGTAGTGGCGATGGCATGGATTGTGGCAGCAATAGTATCATCAGTAGTAGAAGTAGTAATAGTATCAGGAGTAGTAGTAGCGACGGCATGGATTGTGGCAGCAATAGTATCATCATTAGTAGTAATTACATCAGTCGTCATCTCTGTTGCAACCNTTTAAACAACCAAATAAAATAAGGCCCGTAACTTGTTTAAGCTTAAAAATTCTTAAAGAATGGCCCACTCGCTTGCGGACGCTATGTTGGTCTAAGTTGTCATATTTTGATCCCAGACGTCTATGGTCGAGCACTGTATTCCTATATGTATAGTTACCTGATCTGGGAATGGGGTCACACCCTGAAAAGTTGATTCCCACAGCTGGAGTAACTCCATCATGACAACATCCAAATCTCATGTCTCTACATGTTTTCGTAATCCTGTAAATTATAGGAACTTCTTCAATTAATGGCGTTAACTCTGTTGGCTGTCTGTTGGTAATAATATTGGCTTTAGCTACAGGAATATTTTGCTCAGTTGTTAGAATTATAGTATCAGTACTAGAAACAGTATCGGTAGAATAAGTACTAGTAACATCGGTAGTAGTAGTTGTATAATCATCGGTTGTAGAAGTAGTAGTAACATCATCGGTAGTGGAGGTGGTAGTAATGTCAGTAGTAGAAGTAATAATTGTATCAGGAGTAGTAGTAGCGACGGCAAGGATTGTGGCAGCAATAGTATCATCAGTAGTAGAAGTAGTAATAGTATCATCAGTAGTAGAAGTAGTAATAGTATCAGGAGTAGTAGTAGCGACGGCATGGATTGTGGCAGCAATAGTATCATCATTAGTAGTAATTACATCAGTCGTCATCTCTGTTGCAACCCAATCTAGAGGTAAAAAGAAAAAGTAGTATTAATTAATTTATTTGCTTATTTATTTATTTAACGAAAATATATCTAGCAACAGGTGAAGCATATTTATTTACTTTTTACCGTATGGCTTTCTTTTATTTATTTTTTTATGTTACTGAACGTTTTGCCACGTTTACGTTTACTTATTCAGTGGAATAATCTAACACATAAGTATTTTTTCTATAAATCACTGGCCTTTCGCATTTGAATCTTACAGGCGCAAAAAGTAGTGATTTTCTAGGTACTTCATCATTATTTTTTTACAAATTACACACAACTCTTTTCTAAACAATTACATTAAATTTAGAAACTCGCATCTTTAATGGCGCAAGGGATTATAATACATTTAAAATTTTTGTTTTCAATGTGGCAGAAATAGTAAAATAAATAAAAACAGCCACTGGAAATGCCATATAATTCGTTAATAGGAAAGGAAAAGGCTGTTTCCTCATTGATTGGTCGCATAGAAATTTAAGTTAGGCTGCTATTTCTGTTCCATATGGATAGACCACAAATTATGAGGCGCATACTTGGTCTTTAGATTAAACCAATACTATTGGCCAATTCAAGGATATAGGTATCTTTAACGGATGCATGGAGAGTTCAGATGGTTTTACAGATACCGCTTGAGTTTATGTTCAAGAGTTCAACTGAGTTAAAAAAACTGACGAGTTCGGATAAACAGAATACTCTTAGTTTAACACTAGTTTACATCTGAGTTCACAAATGATTAATAATTTTTCCAAACATTTTTTTTATATGCATCGAAATCCTTTGTTTAATGGAATACAACATCGACTTATTTTTATTCTTTTTTTTTCGATTGCACTCCAAATAAACTTAATAATAAATATTATTTACTATTAAAGGGGTTGGAAATGTAAAGGGAGCAAAAACCAATTTATAGAGCCCGTTTTGCACGAGGGAGGTAACTTATGTGGGGGAATTATTAATTGATACTGGCAGTTATAACCGTTATAGAGAGCCCGTGGCATTTTGAAGGTAGTCATTTTACTAATAATTAGGGCGAATTAGACCAAACACATGCCTGTTTCAAAAATCGGGCCTACCTCCAATTTTATGGACTTAAAAATTAAGTAAAAAATACACAGAATAAAAGCATAAATTTGTGTATTTGTAGAGGTCGAGCGTCATATTGTTTATAACCAAACAAAAAATAATTGCTCTTTTTCAGTTTTTCGCTTATATCTCCGAAAATGAGCCTCTAATCGACATGAGGTATACCTATCGATTTTGTTCCTTTGCTTTAAGGATAGGCTTTTGCGAAAGCTCGCAATTTTTTTTTACATTGCAAAATTAGCGACGAACAAAAAAATGTGCAGAATTTTCAGCATTAAATAAAAAGAACGAATTTGACTGAAATTGGATGAAACTACAAGAAAAGATAACTGTTGGGGTGCTCAACAAGTACCCGCAATACGGACCTCCAATTTCAAATTGGAATAGCGTATTGCAAAATTATAAAGTCGAAAACGCGAGCGCGTATATCTTCTGCCTAAGTCAAGGTTTCGAAATCTGGTAAAAAAAATTGCAAAAACCAAAATACCTACTGCTTCAGGTATGCCGTAGTGACCTCAACGCTGAAGGTAAGAAAAAAAACATGTGTTAATCTTTGACTATACTAAATTTTGTTGAAATGTCCAAAAAAGTAGCNTTGTTGGGTACTTATTTAAATGTAAAAGTCTCTGCGCCCTGGTCAGTGTTGCCCTGATCTAAAAAAGGAGAGAACAATTGTAATTTGTTTGACAGTATTGACAGTTGTGCTTCTCATATAAAAATAGTAATATTTGTCATTCATAATTTATGAAATAAAGTTGTTATTTCAAGTAACAAGAAGCTAATTAAAAGATAAGGAACCCGAATATTATACACATATTTAAAACCAAAAGTCAATTATTTCTTTAAAAAAAGTAGTCAGTACTCCATTTGCGTGCTCAGAAAAGATGGACGTATAAAATATTGTCTTAAAATTAACTGTTATTGCGTAAATTGTGTCTAGAATATTATTGAATGTTACAATATCAACATTACATTTAAGAACTGCATTTTATAGTATTTAAAAGAACTGTTACATTCAATTCTACCCTATTTTATTTAATTAATTGTATTACTAGATAAAGTTATTTTTTTAATTTTTATAAGAATATTAAAATTAAAATAAATATTTAGTGTATAATATCTATGTTTTAGACTTCGATGAATTTTTCAAGTTAATTGTTTCTGTTGTATAGCACGTGATTTGAATGTAGCAAAATGGCAAAATTCATCGAAGTCTAAAATATATTATACAACAGCCAAAATACCGTTTAAAAAAATGATCTCGGCTCCTATTGGTCCGATCGACACTTTTTTTTAATCATATTTTTTTAAGCACTATTTGATGCAATGGTTTGAAATCTGTATATTGCTGAAAATTTTGCGCTTTTTTTTACCGCTAATTTTGTAATGTAAAAAAAATTACCAGCTTTCACTTTCGTCTACCCTTGCAGTAAATTTCCTCAGGAACAAAATCAATAAGTATACCTCTATACAAATACACAAATTTATTTTATTCTGTGTATTTTTTATTTAATTTTAAGCCCATAAAATTCGAGGTAGTCCCGACTTTTGAAAAAAAGCCTAATTCGCCAGGACTATAAGGTTGATTTTCACATAGGTATTGGGAGATCTTATATGGTACATAAACCAAACGACCATCAGCTGCCAATCTTCGGGTGGAGGTGGGAGTAATAGGGCCAACCCCAGCGTTGAAAAATATCAAAAAAACATTAATAGTGCCAAAGTTGAAATGGTTTGTATACTTTGTTTATAACAATAAATGATAAGGAATCACATTCAGCTGACAAAATACCGCTGGAAAATGCATCAGTTGCGCGTATAAGCAGGTATGGATATCATTTTAAAAAAAATTTAGTGGGTACCAAACGTGATATCGATTTTAATTATGGTATAGAACGTGTATGTTATAAAAACAAGCTACAGGTGAGCACGCGTTAGTGGAATAGCCCTCAGTTGAGGTCATTAACTTTTATTCAAGCAAGTAGCGGGTCGCTCGGCCGGCCCTGCGTTTTCGAGAGTTTCATGGTCAGCTGAAGAGTTTTCCCCCTCATACAAGCCAGCTAGCTGATTGTTATTTTCGTTAATATTATGCACACACCTATGATTTTGTAAAATTTAAGCTTTGGTAGAATAAAAAAGTGAAGGTTTTTTGCAAAAATGAAATTATCCTAATATGTTTATTGTTACTCAGTAAAAAAATATGTGATTTTATTGAATGGGCGACAAGACGGATAGTGCGGATAAATTTAGCACAAAAAATGATTTTATAAATGTATTATTTTATTCGTCGCTCTCATCGACATCACTTTTCTCTGTATCGCTTTAATGTTCGCTCGAATCTATATCTTCTTTTTCCTCTGCTTCTGAAAAAAGTACAATAATACGTACGATAAAAAGTATAAAAATCAGCTTTGGTACGAGGTACAAACTTTGCCGCGGGCTCTTTTACTATTACAACTTAACTGAACAGCTGAGCGACTCGACAACAAAACAGCATGGTAGTGGTGTAGAATATAGCAACTCTGTGGCAGTGGTGAGAAGAGTAAGAAAGTAGCAAAATGCGCAGTAGCATATGTCTACTTTTTATATTTATTTTACGCCTTCTGAACTGTATCATGAAAAATTCGGTTGTTGCTGGCGTATCATACATCTTACATGAGGCTTTTTTTCGCGAGTGAAGTCGTATGTTGTAGTATGTGTAGTATGAGTGAATATTACGTTTTTGCGAGAATAGTCAGTCATTTAAACTACTATGTGACGTCACAAGTTTAGATCAAATGACTGAACTCTTCACCCTTCAGCTGAATATTCTGTTGGTATATTCAACTAGTATTGTCAGCCGGTAACTTAACCTTTTTCTTTTTGACATTTTGTTTGAATGAGGATAAAAATCGTTCAGCAAAATGATGGATTCTGATACGGCTGTGGAAGTGGTCAGTTTAAATTTAAACTTTAGAGGCACAGATGTTTTAGTAAAC